GTGCTTCACAAATGCTGCGTGTGTTACAAGTTAAAGATTCAAGACTTCAGTGGAGGAAGTATCTGCAGATGTGGAAATAGCAAGAGAACTAGAATTAGAAGTAGAACCTGGAGATGTGACTGAATCACTGCAATCTCATGATCAAACTTGAACTGATGAGTATTTGCTCCTATTTTTTTATTTGGGGTTAGGATGAATTTATTTTTTAATTTAAATTCAATTAATATATATTATTAGTTTCAGAGGTAGGGGTCAGTGATTCATCAGTCTACTATAATGCCCAGTGTTCATTACATCGTGTGAGAGTTGCACCTTTTGATGAGCCAAGGAAGTGGTTTCTTCAGATGGAAGGTACTCCTGGTGAAGATGCTATGAAGATTGTTGGAATGACAACAGAGGATTCAGTCTATCACATGAACTTAGTTGATAAAGCAGAAGCAGGGTTTAAGAGGATTTACTCCATTTTTTCTATATATATGTGTATGTGTATATATACATACACACACATACATAATGGAATATTATGCAGCCATCAAAAAATGAAATCTTGCCATTTGCAACAACATGGAGGGTATTATGCTAAGCAAAATAAGTCAGAGAAAGACAATTATATCTCACTGATGTTTGGAATTTAAAAACAAGGCCTAAGTTCATAGGGGAAGAGAAAAAAATAAGATGAAATCAGAGAGGGAGACAAACCATAAGAGACTCTTAATCTGGGCGCCTGGGTGGCTCAGTTGGTTAAGCAACTGCCTTCGGCTCAGGTCATGATCCTGGAGTCCTGGGATCAAGTCCCACATCGGGCTCCCTGCTCAGCAGGGAGTCTGCTTCTCCCTCTGACCCTCCCCCCTCTCATGCTCTATCTCATTCTCTCTCTCAAATAAATAAAATCTTTAAAAAAAAAAAAGACTCTTAATCTTAGGAAACAAATGGTGGCTGAGGGGAGGGGAATAGGGTGATGGGGTAACTGGGTTATGGACATTAAGGAGGGCATGTGATGTAATGAACACTGGGTATTCTATAAGATTGATGAATCACAGATCTGTACCTCTGAAACCAATAATACATTATATGTTAATTGAATTTAAATTAAAAAATAAAAGTTCTGCGGGTAAATGCTACCAACAGCATCACATGCAACAACAAATTATTTGTGAAAGAAGAGTCAATCGATGCAGCAAACTTCATAGTCTTTATCTGAAGAAATTGTCACAGCGAACCCAGCCTTCAGCAGCCACCACCCTAATCAGTCAGCTGCCATCCACATTGAGGCAAGACCCTCCACCAGTAGAAAGATGATGATTTGCTGAAAGCTTAGATGCTGGTTAGCTTTTTTTTTTTTTTTTTTTTTTTAGCATTGAGGATATTTGAATTAAGGAATGTGTATTTTATAGACAATGCAACAGACTACAGGACACGCTAACTTTCATATGCACTGGGAAAGCAAAAAATTCATTTGACTCACTTTACTGCTTCTTTATTACAACAAAGGCTAGAGGAAGCAGCTTAGTGAGAGAGTTGTATTAGACTTGCTAATTCCCTACCCACCAGTTCTACCTCCCAACTAAGTCCAGCCCGAGGAAAGCTTGCATCTGCAGAGGAAACCAACTTAGGTCACTGCTTCCTACTCACCAGTCCAGGGAAAGAAGGGAAAAAGAGACCAGACTCCCCACCATCAAGGTAACTCACTCCACCTCCCTGGAGAAGGTGTAGGAGTGGGGTAAGAGACCAGGAGCCTTTAGCAGATCTGTTGTCATGCAGTTTGGATGAAAGAAGAGTAGTTTGTAGCTCACCCCCCACACACTGATTTCAATTTGTCAGTTTTGTTGTTAGAAATATTTAAGATTTTTCTGCTTGCTTATTTGAGAGAGAGCACCAGCAGGGGGAGGGGCAGAGGGAGAGTAAGAAGCAGACTCCCCCTTGAGCAGGGAGCTGGACTTGCAGGTGCAGGGCTGGGTCCTAGGACCCTGAGATCATGACCCGAGCCAAAGTCAGATGCTTAACCGACAGAGCTACCCAGGTGCCCCTTGTTAGAAGTAATTTCTGAAAATTAGTTGAACTAAACTATTTCAATATGTAGCCGCATTCACAAGAGAAAAGAATGTCATTGTCCTATGACTTAAAACTTTTGACTTCATCTTTAAAGAGCATTTACTATGGCCTTGGATAGTACCATGTTTCTTTGGATTAAAAAAGAGTAAATACTTCAGACTTCTTGTTTTTCTTATACTTAGATCTACCAAGTTCATGGTTTTATAAACTTAGTCATATATTCATTACTTGCTATGAGCAAGAATTACACTAGATATAATTAGCACATGATTCTCTCATTGGAAGGCCCCACAGTATAATAGAGAAACAGACAATTACAGTATTTGTGATACTTGCTCACTACCACAAAACCATGGGCAGAATGTTTTGGTTATGTAAACAATGGAGAAATTAATGAGAACTAATGATACATGTAAGGAAACATTGTTTCTTTGTAATACATTTGTGAAGATTTTGTGAAGTTTTGAAATGGTAATCCTATTTAATGACTGATTTTCTACCACTCTCATTAAGTAAGTAACAAATTGGTCATCTCGAATAAGCCAAAGTTACTTGGTCAAAATTTATCCCTTTCAGGTATGTTTTTTAGTTGTTTGCTCTTAGTTTTATGCCATCAAGGTATTTTAGTGGGAAAAGATACCTGACATTACATTTTTGTTATAAGAAGTCTTTTAAATTAAAAGGTGGGGGGTGCCTGGCTGGCTCAGTCAGTATAGCCATGTGACTCTTGATCTTCGGGTTGTGAGTGCAAGCCCATGTTTGGTGTAGAGATTACTTAAAAACATCTAGAGGAGTCAAAGTCCTAGAAAGTAGAATAGTGGTTGCCAGAGTTGGGGGAGAGGGGAAAATGGGGAATTATTGTTTCATGGGTATAGTTTCTGTACAAGATAAAAAAGTTTGGAGACTGAATATCCAACAATGTAACATTATTGACCTGTACATTTAAAGATGGTTAAGATTGGGAGGTGGCGGGGTGGGGGGGGGGGTTGAAACAGGTGGTGGGATTAAAGAGTATACTTATGAACACTAAGTAATTAATGTATAGAATTGTTGAGTCACTATATAGTACACCTGAAACTAATATAGCACTGTATGTTAACTATACCAGAATTAAAATAAAAAACTTAATAAAATTTAATAATTTTTAAATAAAAATTAAAATGGTTAAGATTATAAAAAATAAAATCTTTAGGGTGCCTGGGTGGCTCAGTTGGTTAAGCAACTGCCTTCGGCTCAGGTCATGATCCTGGAGTCCCAGAATCGAGTCCCGCATCAGGCTCCCTGCTCGGCAGGGAGCCTCCTTCTCCCTCTGACCTTCCCCCCTCTCATGTGCTCTCTGTCTCTCTCATTCTCTCTGTCTCAGATAAATAAATAAAATCTTTAAAAAAAAAATAAAATAAAATCTTTAAATAGAGAGATGGAGGTGGCATCACACTGCTACCTCAGAAATAGAAACTAGAATGAATACTCATATGTCTTTAATGACAAAGGAAATCTTTATTCTCTACTCACTAAAATTCTAACTGTAGAGTCACTCAGTAGCAACTAGAGCAAAAAGTGAAGTGTCTGTGCATGCATGCAGAAAAGGGATCCCAGGGAGTGGAAAGAACACAAATGTTAGAGTCAGGCCAGCCTAGGTCACATCCTCAACCTGAGTAACCTTGGACAAGTTCTTAACCACCTGAGCCTTAATTTTCTCCCTGCCTGTAAGGAATAATAGCTATTTCATTAAGTTCTTTTAGAGAGATGCACAATGTCTTCCTTTTTTTTTATGATTTTATTTATTCATTTTGATAGAGAGACAGCGAGAGAGGGAACACAAGCAGGGGAAGTGAGAGAGGGAGAAGCAGGCTTCCTGCCAAGCAGAGAGTCCAACTCAGGGCTCAATCCCAGGATCCTGGGATCATGACCTGAGCCTAAGGCAGATGCCTAACAACTGAGCCACCCAGGTGCCCTGCACAAAGTCTTTCTAAGCCCACAACCTGAACATTAATGCCCCCAGTCTTTCTAAGCCTACAATCTAAAGGAATTCTTCAAACAAAAGTAGGCCGAGCATATTTTACGAACTTAGTGCCAGGTAGCAGGCTGCCTACAAAATTTCAAGAAAGAGGATGCTAAATAAAATAGATACCAATAGTGCTTATTTTGATACTGCAGTTTATATCTTCCTGACTGAAAACGTAGAAATGGTTATTTATGGGGGGAAACCTTAAAGCCACTTAAATGTGCAGTATAGAATAGGGGGTAAATAAGTGACAGGACATCATGGGAACATTTATGGTTTTGAAAAGTATAGATAAGGTAAAACTGGTTTGGGGGCACCTGGGTGGCTCAGTCATTAAGAGTCTGCCTTCAGCTTGGGTCATGGTCCTAGGGTCCTGGGATCGAGCCCCGCATCGGGCTCCCTGCTCGGCGGGAAGCCTGCTTCTCCCTCTCCCATTCCCCCTGCTTGTATTCCCTCTCGCTGTGTCTCTGTCAAATAAATAAATAAAATATTTAAAAATAAAATATCTTGTAAAAAAGAAAATAAAAATGGTTTTGATGTGTTGTAGGATATATGTATCTTACAGTTAAGGTTTTTAAAATGAAGAAAAACTGAAAAAAATCCAACAACTGCTATGAGTGATTCTTTCATTTTCCAATTTGTCAGTACTATGAGGTTGCTTTCATAATAAGAAGACTATGTAAGAGAGCCAATGAACCTCATGGAGCAAAAAGTTTCTTCATAGACAAAACACAAACTTAGGTTCCTTAATGCTTGTTTCCATTAAGACAACCAAAGGAGGAGACCGTCAGTCTTGGTTCTTTTAACTCCTTAAGCACCAGCCTTTTAGCTGTTGTGTTCCTGTCAGCTGTCATAATTTAGTCGACCATGTCGACTGGAGAGAACTATAACACTCAAATTTATCTTTTCTAAAGCAGTGTTTTTCTTTGTTTTAATGTTACAGATTTATTTGAGGTTCCTAGATTATCAAATGGAGCACTCAAATGAATGCAAGAGAAACTTCGTTGCAGTTTATGATGGAAGCAGTTCTATTGAAAATCTGAAGGCCAAGTTTTGCAGCACTGTGGCCAATGATGTGATGCTGAAAACAGGAGTTGGAGTGATCCGAATGTGGGCAGATGAAGGTAGTCGGCTAAGCAGATTCAGAATGCTCTTTACTTCCTTTGTGGAGCGTAAGTAAATCCTATAGCATTGAGATCTTTTACATAATTTTCATTCATTCAGAATTCAATTATTGAGCATTTCCTTTTGACAAAGACTGCAAGTCAAAGAGAATGCAGAAATAACTAAGTCTTAGTCCCTATTCTCAAGGAATTAACTGTCCTGGCTGAAAAACCATGTTAATACATAAATTGCAACACTGCCTTATTATAAAAGTGTAACGTGATAGGGAACACAGAAAGTGGAGACTCAAGATTTTCAAAATTAAAAATAATTATCAGTAGTATTAATTCAGCTTGGTATATAATTATGAATCTACCAAACCATGTTCATCAAAATTTAGATAGGCTGTGTTTTCTTTTTTCTAACTTCTAATTTTTAAATAATTTTAAGCTTATCTAAAGTTATAAAAATAGCACAGAGTTTTCATTTGTCCTTCACTCAGATTCCCCTAATAATGTGGTAAAACTGAAAATTAACACTGATACACTATTATCAACCATTATATATAGACCTTATCCACATGTCACTAGTTTTCCTATTAATGTCCTTTTCTGATGCTGGATCCCACGTTGCGCTTACTTGACATCTGTCCTTTAGTCTCCTCAATCTGTGACAGTTCCTTAGTCTTCAATGACCTTAATATATGTGAAGAGCAATGGCCATTTATTTAGTAGAATGTCAATTTGAGTTTGTCTGATGTTTTCTCATGGATTCTTTTGAGGTTATGTATTTCTGTCAGTGTCACAGAAATGACGCTACACGTTTCTCAGTGCATCATACCAGTGAGGTAGGCGTACATCATGTGGATCTGTCTCATGTTAACTTTGCTCACTTCCTTAAGGTGCTCTCTGTCAGGTTTCTCCACTATAAAGTTACTGATGTTTTCATTTCTAGTTAATAATTCTCCTTGAGACTATGCAAATATCCCTTTGCTCACTAATTTTAGCGTCTGTTAATGGTTTCTGCCTGTAATAGGTATTATTATAGGGTGCCTGGGTGGCTCAGTTGGTTAAGCGACTGCCTTCGGCTCAGGTCATGATCCTGGAGTCCCTGGATTGAGTCCCGCATCGGGCTCCCTGCTCGGCAGGGAGTCTGCTTCTCCCTCTGACCCTCCCAACCCTCCCCCCTCTCATGTGCTCTCTCTCTCAGTCTCTCTCTCTCAAATAAATAAATAAAATCTTTAAAAAAAATAAAAAAAAAATAGGTATTATTATAGTGTTTACCTAATGGTAGTTTTCTGTTTCCATTATTCCTTCTACACTTATTAGTTGTAATTCTGTGAGGAAGAGTTATTTTCCCCCTCATTTATCTATTCAGTGATTTATTTCAGTATGAGTTTATGGATTTTTATTTTATGCCATTATTATATATAGTTATATATAACATAATTATTATAATACTAACATTATTTTGTTACTCAGAGCCCCAGCTTTGGCCACTGGGAGCCTTTTCAAGTTGTCTCTTTTTTTTTTTTTTTAAGATTTTATTTATTTATTTGAGACAGAGAGAATGAGAGAGACAGAGAGCACATGAGAGGGGGGAGGGTCAGAGGGAGAAGCAGGCTCCCTGCCGAGCAGGGAGCCCGATGCGGGACTCGATCCAGGGACTCCAGGACCATGACCTGAGCCAAAGGCAGTCGCTTAACCAACTGAGCCACCCAGGCGCCCTCAAGTTGTCTCTTTTAACTTTTGATGTGTCCTTCCCTTTTTTTTTTTTAATCACTTTATTTTCTGTCACCACAAGATGGCCCAGGTTCAGCTGTGTTTTCCCTGGCCCAGCCGTAAAACCAACCATATTTCCAAGAAGCCCTTTTCTTCTCGTACAAAAGACACTGCTAAAAGCACTTCTGGGGTTCTTATAGGAATCGTAATGAATCCATGGACTGCTTTAGAGTAGTAGTGTCATCTTAATCAGTCTTAAGTCTTCCAGCCCACGGACCCAGGGTGTCTTCCCACTTATTTGTTGTCTTTCATTTTTTTCAAGAGTGTTTTGTACTCTTTAGTATACAACTCTACAAGTACACATTGTTAGTGTGTAGAAATGTACCTGATGTTGTATTCTGTGTTTGTATCCTGCAGCTTGCTGAATTAGTTTATTAGCTGTGTGTGTGTGCGATCTTGTTAGGGTTTTCTACATATAAGATCATGTTGTTTGTAAACAGGTAATTTTCCAATATTGGGTGCTATTTTATTTTTTTATTTCCTTTTCTCACCTAACTGCTCTTGCTAGAACTTCTAGTACTATATTGAATAGAAGCTATAGGAGACACCCTTGTCTTGTTTCTGATCTTAGGAGCAAAGCTTTCAGCCTTCCACCGTTGAGTAGGTGTTAGCTGAGTAGGGTTTTCATATATGGGCTTTATCATGTTGAGGAAATTTTCTTCTGGTCCTAGTTTACATATTGCGTGTTTTCATCATTAAAGGATGTTGAATTTTGTCAAATGCTTTTTCTGATTCAATTGAGATGATTATGTCATTTTTTTCCTCTTCATTTTGTTAATGTGTTGTATTACAGTCACTGATTTTTTTTAAAGATTTTATTTATTTGACAGAGACATAGCAAGAGAGGGAACACAAGCAGGGGGAGTGGGAGAGGGAGAGGGAAAAGCAGGCTTCCCACCATGCAGGGAGCCCGACGTAGGACTCCATCCCAGGACCCCAAGATCATGACCTGAGCCGAAGGCAGACGCTTAACGACTGAGCCACCCAGGCACCCCTCATTCATTTTTATATGTAGAACCATTTTTATGGTCCAGGAATAAGTCCCACTTGATCATGGTGTATAATCCTTTTAATATGTTGCTGAATTCAATGCTAGTATTTTGTTGAGGATTTTTGCATCAATATGTATAAGGGGTATTTGTCTTTAGTTTTATTTTCTTGTAGCATCTTTGTCTGACTTTGATATCAGGGTTATGCTGGTCCATAGAATGAAAAAGAAGTGGGGCACCTGGGTGGCTCAGTCGTTGAGCGTCTGCCTTCGGCTCAGGTCATGGTCCCAGGGTCCTGGGATCAAGCCCCGCATCAGGCTCCGCGGGAAACCTGCTTCTCCCTCTCCCACTCCCCCTGCTAGTGTTCCCTCTCTCGCTGTGTCTCTCTCTGTCAAATAAATAAAATCTTTAAAAAGAAAAAAGAAAAAGAAGTGACCCTTTCTCTCCAACTTTTTGGAAGAGTTTGAGAATTGATGTTCTGTAAACAGTTGGTAGAATTCCCCAGTGAAGCCATCCAGTCCAGGGCTTTTCTTTTTTGGAAGATAGTTTGATTTTACTGATTCAGTATCCTTGCTAGTTAGAGATCTATTTGAATTTTCTATTTAGTTTTATTCAGTTTTGGCAGAATATGTGTTTCTAGGAATTTGTCTATTTCATCTAGATTAGCAGTTTGTTGGTGTAGAATTGTTTTTAGGATTCTCTTTTAATCCCTTTTAGCTGTAACATCTAAACTGTCTCCACTTGAATTTCTGATTTTAGTAATTTGAATCTTCTCATGTTTCTCTTTTTTCCTTGGTCATTGTAACTAAAAGTTTGCCAATTTTATGGAGCTCTTCAAAGAATGATTTTTTTTCTTTTCTTTAATTTTTCCATCCTCTATTTATCTCTCTTTTCTATAATTTCAGTGTTTCTGACAAAGGCATAGAATTCCAAGTTTAGTTTGTCCTTTTTTTCTCATTCTTTAAGGTTAAGTTACTGATTTGAGATCTTTCTCCTTTTTTTAATATAGGCATTTTTAGCTATAAATTTCCTTCTTTGCACTGCTTTCACTGCTTCTCATCAAGTTTCGCTGTGTTGTTTTCATTTTCATCTATCTCAAGATATTCTCTAATTTCCCTTGTGATTTCTTCTTTGACCAGTTGGTGGGTTAAGAGTGTGTAGTTTAATTTCCACATATTTATGAATTTTCCAGTTTTCATTCTGTTATTGATTTCTAGTTTTATTTCAGTGTGATTGGAAAAGATATTTTGTGTGATGTCAGTCTTTTAAGATTTTTGTGTGTATGTGGTGTAATATATGGTCCATCCTGGAAAAAGTTCCATATATGCTTGAGAAAATTGTGTATTTTGCTGTTGTTGGGTAGAACTTTCTGTATATCTATTAGATCCAGCTGGTTTATAGTGTTATTCTTTTATTTGCTTATTAATCATCTGTATAGTTATTTTACCCATTATTGAAAGCAGGATAGTGAAGTCTCCAGCCATTGTAGAACATCCAATTCTGCCTTGAATTCTGAAAATGTTTGCTTCTTATATTTTAGGACTCTGATTTTTGGTTTATATTTTTTTATAATTGTATCTTTTTGATGAATCCCTTTTACCAATATACAGTGTTCCTCTTTGTCACTTGCAACAGTTTTGATTTAAAGTCTATTTTTGTTGATATTTGTATGGCCACCCCAGCTGTCTTTTGGTAACTATTTGCATGGAATATCTTTCTGATTTTTTCACTTTCAACCAATTTATATCGTTAGATCTAAAGTGAGTCTTTTTTTTTTTTTAAGATTTTATTTATTTATTTAACTGACACAGAGACATCTAGAGAAAGAACACAAGCAGGGGGAGTGGGAGAGGGAGAAACAGGCTTCCCGCCAAGCAGGGAGCCCGATGCGGCGCTCGATCCCAGGACCCTGAGATCATGACCTGAGCTGAAGGCAGCCGCTTAACCAACTGAGCCACCCAGGTGCCCCTAAAGTGAATCTTTTTAGAACAGTATATAGTTGGATCTTTGGGATTTTTTTTTTTTTAATTATTATCTATTCTGCCAATCTCTGCTTTTTGAATGGAGGGTTTAACTCATTTACATTTATAGTAATTACTAAGAAGAAAGGACTTCTGCCCTTTTATTGTTTGTTTTCTAAATGTCTTAAAACTTCCTGTCCCTCATTTTCTTCATTACAACCTTCTTTTGTGGTTAATTGATTTTTTGTGGCAACACATTTGAATTTCCTTTTGTGTATATTCTTTAGATATTCTTTGTGGTTATAGTGGGGTTTTGTCTTTTTATGAGTTGGTTACA